TGGACTGTCTCAGGATGTTGTCTCCAGCACCATCCTCTCTAAATCTTGCAGCTGATCTCCCGCCATCTTCAGAGCCCCCTCGCAACGCTGTGAAAGATATAGGCCAGCATATCTAATCCTTACGATGACTGGTGCACTGCAGGCAAGAAGCAGGTAGCTATATACCCAAGGGTAAGGCAAGAATCTATCTATTAGAGAATTGAATGTAACGTGATCCTGCCTGGGGCCCAGAGTCGGTCCCAGAAGGATACACAGAGTGAGTAACCAGAGCAGACAAGGGTAAGAAGCTCTCTCAAACAGCCTGATGGCTCAGAGAGCTCCAGTAACAATAGTGCAAGTCTGGTAACTAGGTCACAGTTATGATCCTTAATTAATCCTAAAGAGACCCCATCTGCCAGGGGGAACATGACAGGTAAGGTAGCTCATTAAGCCCAGAAGGAGGCCAGGGGTAATGCCAGACCCCAGCCTTGCCCCCAGAGGTTTGGGGACAAAATCCCATTCGGCAGCAGCAGCTGCTTTACCCAGCCCACTCTCTGCCAAGCTTTTAGCCAGCAGACACACCAGGCTCTCCCCATTCCCTCCAAGGAAGCAACAGCAGCCCAGAGCCCGTTCACTAGCCACTGCCCAAACCACACTGACATAGGCCATGAAACAGGAGAGAGACGGGATCAAAAACAGCCCAGGGGCAGGCAGACATGGAGCTCCAGCAAAGGAGCCTTACCAAATCCTGCTGGATAGCTGAGCCCTGGCTCCCTGCAACCCTGCTTTTTGCCCCCACACCCCTCTGTGCCAGGGCATGCTATCCCAAGTCATTTCTTCCCCTGACTCCTCTGGAAGAAGCTGAGAGATACCAGCTTCTCCATGTGTGCTGCCTCAGCTTCCACAGAGGGTTAAATTAACATGCTGGGCTCACAGCCACAGCCTGAGACACAGGTTCTGTAAAGGGGCATCAAGGCCAGTAGAGAAAAGGGCCTGACACTTCAGCTGAAGTTAGGAGAGTTCATGTGCCCGTAGGGCAGGTCATTCACTTGGCAGAAAGATTTGTCCCTGACCATGACAGCAGAGAATACATCTGGCAGCGTGTTGGCAGAGACTGTCTGAGGGCAAGGGCATGGATGGCTGACACCTGGGAGAACAGTCTAGGTGCACGTGATCTGCCCTGGCCTCTAGAGCTAGCTGTGTTTTGCATCTACACATGATTCCCACAAATGTCTTGATCTGCATAAATCCACTGGTGACAGGTAGATAAGCTGAGATAATGCTGATTGAGTTTTCAAGCCCCACTTCTGCTACCTGAGCAATTAAAAAGCAGCCACTGTCAGCAAAGACAGCAAAACCTAACAGGGCTTCTGAGGACGCAGCACAGAGCAGGAGCATTAAAAATAGATTTTTCAAAGAAGGGATGTGTGACTAATAAGCCTTAAACTAACAATTGTTGGGAGATGGGGGCAGCTTAGTACTAAAGCCAAGTCACCAGGGACCCTTATTAAGGTGTCACTTGTGCTCACTACCACCCCTAAAGGCACTGTGTTCAGCAAAATCCACAACTGACATAACTTCATACAATTAAACTAGAACAAGTAGCAAGGAGAAGAGCTGCCAAGTAAACACAGAACAGTATTTCTACCCAAGGAAACTTTGAATAGCAGAGAAATCAAAGTCCAGGCATACACACCATCACCGTACACATGAAAGTGCAGCTGGGTGAGGGACTGCACCACTGCGAGATGGCTCCAAGAAAATGAGGCCACTGGCTATCAAGGCCAAGAGACAGTGCAAGCACTTTGGGAAGGATGTACTGAAATCACTCCTTCCAATTAAAACACAAGCACAGGAAGCAGCTCTAGTTTATTTGCTCTTGTAATTGGAGCTTTAAATCTCAATTACTCGCTTAAAATCTTATTGTCCTTCATGGTAAATATATCTTGACAGGGTTTTTGCTGTGGAGGAGACACGTGGTTTTGGGAATCAAGCTGAAGCAAACATAGAAAAGGTTATCACCTTGCTGAGACAATAGTACAGAGAGTACAGGTAGTGGGGAACTACCAAAGGCTCAAAAGGGAACCCAGAGGTTGCCCCCTTCACTCACCCACGGAAGAGAGCACACTTCTTCACTGTGCAAAGCACCAGCCTCCTCTCTCCCACCTCCAGCCAAAGTGCAAGACCAGGCCCTACACAAGCCCTGAAGACCTTTCTGGATTTCAGCAGTAGATAGCACAAGGATCCAGAGGGTTGGCACAGCTTCACATATTAGAGTTGTTGGCTCCTGTTTTGCGGCTGAAGTGGTGGCTGCACCCCTCCAGGTATCCCACCCTCTACTACATGGTCCCATTCCTGCTGTGGGTTGGACAGGATGAAAGTCTGGTTCCTATCTTAGAGCCTGGCCTAATAAGTATGTATTGCCCAGCTTGACATCTCTTCCCAAAACTGCTTCTTCCAAGACATTGTTGCCTCACAAAATGCAGCTTGGCAAAAAAAGCCCAACCTTACACCTACAGAGATTCCTTAAGACACTCCATCAGAGACAGAAGAATTAATCAATTAGGGAAGTGATTGTCCCCCTGTACTCGGCACTGGTGAGGCCACACCTAGACTACTGTGTTCAGTTTTGGGCCCCAAACTACAAGACAGACATTGAGGTGCTGGAACATGTCCAAGCTGGTGAGGAGTCTAGAACACACATCTTATGAGGAGCGACTGAGGGAACAGGGGTTGTTCAGCCTGGAGAAAGGTTATAGAGAGGTGAGTGTTAGTCTCTTCTCCCAAGAAACAACGAATAGGTCAAGAGGAAATGGCCTGAAGTTGTGCCAGGGGAGGTTTAGGATGGATATTAGGAAAAAATTCTTCAACAAAAGGGTTGTCAAGCATTTAACAGGCTGCCCAGGGAAGTGGTTGAGTCACCATCCCTGGAGGTATTTAAGAGACATGTAAATGTGGCACTTGGGACAGGATTTAGTGGTAGACTTGGCAGTGTTTGGTTAACAACTGGACTTGATCTTAAATGTCCTTTCCAACATAAACAATTCTATGAACCTATGTTTGCACTTCCATCTCTTTCTAGGACATTTCCTAGAATCAGCCTGTATCTTCTTCACCCAGGGCATTTCCAAGAGAAAGCACATGCCTCTTGCCTGATTAAATGGAGGGATTCCTGAAAGAAGACATTAGATACTCCAGGTTCTTTACCACATCTCCTGGAGATACAAAGACACTACATTTTTCAACCATTACCACCACCTCAAGCCAACACCTGACAAGACTAGGTTTGCTCAGTACACCAAGTCAGAGGCTTTTAAAACTCACTCCTTTGAGTCCTCTAGCCCTGTAAATCTCAACTGGACACCAAGTCAGAGGCTTTTAAAACTCACTCCTGAGTCCTCTAGCCCTGTAAATCTCAACTAGAATGGGCTTCAAAGCAGCTGCAAAACCATCAGGTCAAATAAACTACATGCTGAAAAGGTTACCAGTGGGGTCACAGTACTTCAGGAAACCTCCCATCCCAGCTGTCCTGGCTGATCCTCACTTGCACTCCTCCTGGTACCGCCTGTGCTGCTTGGCAGGCGGAGTGGCCCAGGAGCCCAGAGCTTTGCGTGACTTGGGCTGTTTGTAAGACAGTGCAAACAGAGCACTTGGCAGCTTTTCCAAGAGTTCAGTACAAAGGCAAACCAGGAATGGAAGCCTCATATACTCAACTAACCCGAACACCTCACAGAGTTTCTCTAGTCTGCAGCTCCCAAGTTCAGATTTGGAGATACGATGTGCTAATTTCCTCCCTTCATATTTTAGTGCTGGCCCCTTCTACCCTATTGCTGCCACTCTTCTCATTTTAACACCTTCACCACCCTCTAACTTTATCTATAGAGCACGAGGAAGAACAATATGTCTTGCATCTCCAAGGTTAAGCAACAAGAGCTATTGCGAAATAGCACAGCAAACCCCATGGGCAGAAAGCACGAACACTTACACGGGGAGATGGAAAGATTTGCGGAGGAAGGAGCCAGACACCAAGAAGGCTGTTGCTCGTCCTTCCAGCTTTCTGCTGTGGCACAGGGGCTACGGTGTTACACAGACTCTCCTCCCACTCACAGGAGTGGGTTTGGCCTTGTGATGTTTCATAGACCCTATTGCCACACGTTTTCATGCTATTTTCATGTCTGGAACATCTCCACTTAGATGTGAGACATCCTTCTGCTCTGCTCCTTGGCCACTTCCTCTCAACCCTTTGGATTGTTTGTTTCAAGGAGCTAATTCTAATTGCTATACAACTAATTGCTATATAATTCTTTAGCTATAAAGTTTCCCTGACCATTGATGGAAACAATAAAAGATCAAAACTGCTGTACACTTCCCTCTGTTTATTGCTTGCTTTTTCCAAAACCGTTCTCAAGACTGTCTCAAGACCAGCTATATCTAGTGCTATGGAATGGCTGGATAAGGAGAAAAGCCACCCAGGTAACAAAAGAGCCACCCAGTTGCCTCACTGGGTACTTGTTCATGGGATAACACCCACACAGGAATTCCCAGCATGGGGCTAGTCAGGAGGGGGATTTTCCCCCACCTTCTCATGTCATCAGCAGGTGTTTCATTCTGAAATGCTTCTCCTTCTCCTTACTTCACTGAAATATCCATCCTTGCAGAAGAAATTAAAATACCAGATGCATAAGAGAAGAATAAGCCTTTGCTGAAATGAACCACAACTAGCCTTGCTTGTAGGTGTACTGTACCTACAATAGACATTTTAAGGTGACAGCCTTTTGAAATTCCATCATTTTCTGTCAATTTCCATCAATTCCATCCGCCCAAAAGAGATCAGAGACTATTAGGACTTCACAGGATGCCCTTATCCCTGTTTCCAGGCTGAAAATGCAATCTTATTTGTATTACTACACCTGGGAAAGGTACATCTGCAGGAAATCATACTGATTAAAAGCCTGTCTAGTCAGGGCATCTCCATTTTGACAAACAAAACTACATCAATTTATACAAAGAATTTAACTTACTGTGTCAGCCTGAGTCTCAGGTGGCCGAGGAGGAATGAGGGCACTTGAATATGGTGCTGCCTTGTAAGGTGTCCCTGTGGGCCCATGGGACAAGGATAAAAGTCAGAGACATTATTTTTCTTGTGGTGGTTTAGCCCCAGTAGGCAGCTAATCCCCACACAGCCACTCACTTCCCCCCAGCAGGATGGGTAAAAGTGTGAAAACTTGTGGGTTGAGATAAAGACAGTTTAATAATTAAAAAAGAGGAAAAAAACAACAAAGAGATAAAAACACTCACCAAACCCCCCCAAAAACCAAGCGATGCAAAAGAAAACAATTGCTCACCACTGACTGAGGCCCAGCCAGTCCCTGAGCCACAGCAACCCCAACCAAGCTCCATCCCCCAAGCTGCTGAGCGTAATGTCATATGGTGAGGGATGTCCCTTTGGTCAGTTGGGGTCGTCCCCTCCTGACTTTTCATGCACCCCCAGCCTACTTGCTGCCAGAACAGTGTGAGAAACAGAAAAGCCCTTGACACTGTGCAAGTGCTGTTTAGCAATGACTAAAGCATCCCTGTGTTATCAACACTATTTTCGTCACAAATCTAAAACATAGCCCCATACAAGCTGCTGTGAAGAAAATGAACTCTCTCTCAGTCAAAACCAGTACGTTTTTACAGCAGGCTAGCTCCTTAATTCCTGTTTGGAAACTCCATTTTTTTATAGAGAGCTCTGACTTCAGAGCCAAGTCCTTTCCCCACCTTCTCACACCTTCACACAGGAAGCCCTCAGATTGACTTTTTCTAAGGTACTTCTGCTCTCTGCTGACTACATAGAGAGTTCAAGCTCCTAAACTGGATGTAGAAGGTGGTATCTCTGCCTGAGTAGCTAATTAATGAGGAGAAATGAGGGCTGAGATATGCAAGAAAAATGACAGGCTGAAGCCCAGCAATAATCCTAACTAAAAAATATACTGGTTGGAGCCTACTGGTTCTTTCTAGGAGAAGGATGAAAACAGTGTGAGAGAGAAGCAAACAAGGGTATGAATGCAAGTCATTACAAGTGCAAAGCTCACAGTAGCTGGAAGGATTCATGTGTCATTTCCTGCTGTGTGCTGCATAAAGCAAGACAAAGTCAAGGATGCAAGATGAAAAAAGACTATTGTGTGATGTTCCACATCTGAAGCAACTGAAAAGATGTCAGGGAGATACTCTAGAATTAAGATAAACCACTGCTGGATATGTTAATCAGATGGGCTGTAGACCACAGCAGCCCTGGTGTGGGAGTGGTGCCCTTCAGCAGAAGGGCAGGGTACCTTGTATGAGGGTGGCAGTAGCTTCTACTGTCCCAACTGAGCGTGAGTCATGCCCCTGTAATGGGACTTTGCGAAGACACCAAACTCCCCTGCACCAGTGGGCAGCACCTGGGGCCTGGCAGATGGGCAAGAGAGTCCTGACCCAACACCTTTGTGAGGACCCACCAGCAGTTCATGAATTTTAAAAGATACCCATTACATTGTGGAGAAAAACAACTTGACACTTTTTTGTATGAGATGGGGTAAGAAGCTTGCCTGGCCTGCGTCTGTGAAACACGGGTGCTGCTCAGTCACTCTGCAACAGGTCCCATGTGCCTCAGCATTCAGCAGCTCTTCCAGCTTGGTCAAATTCTCTATCGCTTTCAGGGTCCTATAAAGGAATGAGATTTCCTGTTCTGTCACGTAGAGAGGACACTGGATACAAATGAGGAAAATCTGCTAAAAAAATTCACCATGGGAAGAATTTTCACTATGCAGCTACTATCACAACCCTCAAATTTTGCCTTAAAAGGTAAACTAAGTTCTCTGTAAGAACTGCCGGTCTCAGGACCGGAGGTGGAAGTTCTCAGATCTAAGCCTGGAATTTGAGCCTGGATTAAATCCAGATGTCAGGATCACATCCACGCCCTTGGAAAATTCAGATCTCAATATAGACATTGCGTTGTGCTTGGGGAGGGGGAATTGTTTTTCTGGCTCGCCCTCTTGTGACACTGCCTGGGTGGGAAAAAATTAGGAATACATGCAGTTCTGGCTTCAGAAGTGGGCAAAAGGGATTAAATGTCACTAATGGTACAGTTACATGCTTTCATTTAGACAGGCCAAGTGCAGAGGGGCTTTGTCTCTTGCTTTTCTGCTGAAGTATCTAAATACTCTCTTAAAAGCATAAAATTCATTAAAATTCCATGAAAGGAGTTAACTGCTGACAGATCTGAGGCTAGATGGAGACTACAAACATCTGAATCGAGTTCTGTTTTCAGGAATATTGGGCAAAACATGCTTGAGAGAAGAGGGATGGGAGGGAATTATTGAAGGTAACTTACACCTGATCCTACATGGTAAGTGGGAAGAGACCACCTTCAGCTGCAACTCTTCACAGACACCTGCAGAAACCAACTTGACCCTGTGGCAGGGGCTTTTTTTCTCCATTTCAATTTCTGTACGGGAAGCACTTTCTATGGCTTCTCATCCACCTCCCAAACTGCTGGAATTTAATCATTTTTTCCCCCCTTGCAACTTATTTAGCAAAAAAAATGGACAAATCATCACAATGGAATGTGCTTTGAAAAACTAAAATCAGCAGAAGCTCTCAGGGCAGCTGAGAGTCTTCCCTTCCCCTGCTGCTGCATCAGATGGGCCTTTCAGGCAGATTGAGCTTCCTCTGCTGAACCCATCTGGTACCCAGCATCTCAGGTACCAGCTCCAAAACACAGTTACAGCCAGGAACTACCCACCTTCCAACCTAAACTTTGTCACAGCTGAATAAATTTGTTCTCACACCAATGCTATCCCCTCAGCTTAAACCATTTTCCTTCTTTATTACACCCTCCTCTGCCCTTTAGATATTGACAGGCAGTCACTGCTCCTCCCCAGCCTGCTGTACCTGCTCTCTCTCTCAGGATGGGCTCCCTGTTCCCCCTTGGGCTGCTGAGGTACCGTCCCCCTCGTCGAAGCCTGAAGTCCTCCTCCTGGAGTGTGTCAAACAGCATTTCCATGTCACTTCATGCTAGTTTCTCCTGAGCCCTGTAGGATGACAGTAACACATTGCCACAATTAGCATTGTTAAATACCATTTAATTAATCCACTGAAGCTGTAAGAAACTTTAATTAATGGCAGCTTTATTAGTATTTACTTCACCTTCAACATGTAAGCTCTGACGCTATTTCCAAAGGGCACAGACTGGCAGAGCAGCTGAGAAGACACCCTTTCCCCCTGACTTTTCCCCACTCTGTTGGTCCCAGAGCTCACAGCCATCTCTGGGCACTGACAAGGACATGTTCCTTCGGCAGCTCTCCAGGATGAGGGTCAAGTTAATGCCATTCCGTCACTATTTAGCTCTGCGCAACTCCTGTCATGTACAAGGTTAAATAAATTCACCAAAACCAAGCTCTAAAGAAGTGCTATTGCGGGGTCTGATTAATAGCACAGATTGTAGGGAAGGCTGACAGGAAAGCTGAGAGTTCTGCTCCACTTGGAGATCTCTGTATCATAGCCAAGGTCACTGTGTCTCAGCTGCCAACCTTGAACGATGTTTGTGTAAAAAAGCAGATGCTCTTCAGGCTTCAGACTTCACATGCAAGCTTTTGAATACAGAACCACGAGTTCCTGAATTCCAGCAACAGAGCAGACTAATGTACTTCATCTCTCAACCTTGCAACATGGTAAAATGCTGCTGTTAAGATTATCAGGATAAAGAGGGATTAACAGATTTCTGTGGGATTGAACCTGCTGTGGCAGGTGTGCCCACAGAAGAGCTCTGCAGCCTGTTGCAGTACTCTGCCAGCATATGTGCACACCACCTTTCTCTGGTGCCTCTTACAACAAAACATGCATTCCCTCTGGCCCACTCGAGTTAAGTACCACCGTCAATTAAGATGCATTCCCTCTGGCCCACTCGAGTTAAGTCAATTAATAAGGGAAGAATAGGAGGAGAAGGAAAAATACTACCAACCTGCTATAAACGAAGCATGTGAGACTTGATTTCTGTTGTTAAAACTGAAATTAATCCAAGGAGCACCGGAGTGATCCCTTAGGTTCGGACATATTAACTCTGTGCTCTAAGGACACTCCTCAGGTATCTACATGGCAGAACGTCGTGATATTTCCTCATTTTTAAAAGTGACTGATATGACACAAGGCCTCAGGGTAGGGAGTCAAATGTTGATGGTCAGGGGAACAGGGGCAGCACTAATCTGAAACACCGACCAGGTGTCTTTAAACTGTTAAAACTGAAATTAATCCAAGGAGCACCAAAGTGATCACTTAGGTTCAGACATATTAACTCTGTGCTCTAAGGACACTCCTCAGGTATCTACATGGCAGAACGTCATGATATTTCCTCATTTTTAAAAGTGACTGATATGACACAAGGCCTCAGGGTAGGGAGTCAAATGTTGATGGTCAGGGGAACAGGGGCAGCACTAATCTGAAACACCGACCAGGTGTCTTTAAACTTCAAGTGCTAATTAACTATTGTATTTTGCAAAATGTAAATATTTGAGGCATGTAATAGTAACTGAAACTTCAAGTGCTAATTAACTATTGTATTTTGTAAAATGTAAATATTTGAGGCATGTAACAGTAACTGAAAGCCAGTTGTGAAAAAAAAAAAAAGCACTTTTCATGAGCAAACTGAAGTAATACTTTGAAACATTGTCCTCATGTTACCAAATGACCAAGAGTCTTGCTATCACAGCTGCTACACAGGGTCAGGTCAAATACTATAGCCTTAGTTTAATCATATATTTACAGAACAAGTTTAACGATACCCAGTGATGGCCTTAGTTTAATCATATATTTACAGAACAAATTAAAACTAGTATATATCTAGTTTAACAATACCCAGTGATAAAAGGCTGTTTCTTAATGGTAACCTCTGCATTAAATTGCTGGAATAACAAATTGAATTGGTTAAGAAGTAACACTAAGACTTATTAAACAATGCAGTCTTAAATTCCTAATAAGCAGGAAGTGAACTGTTTAAAAAAAAAAAAAACATCTAGCCTTACTAAAACCCAAATCCCATGCCTGCACCTTGTAAAGCCCTATCTACTTTTTCAGAGCCCCAGGAGGGGTACGTTAGGGCAGAACTCTGTCTTGTTTCCTACCTCAGAGCTTAGTAACGTGCTGGAGTTGACAGCAAGTCTGCTGTTTGACTATGTTTTGTTTAAGGCTGTCTTCCTCTTGATCTGCTTACGCCAATCACAAAGTTTACATATAGTGCAGCCAGCATCCGCAAAGTGAGTCAGGGATGAAGAGAGAAGAGTCAGGCAGATACCCTGCTGGTCTTCCCCCTGCCCTCTAATCTAAAGATTAATTTGCAACTTGTAAATACTGACCAATACTTTCCGAGTGCCTTTGATATCCAAACTTGAGTTCAGCAACCACAGTCCTATACAGGATTTGTACTTCCCTAATCACTCTACTGCGAGCACTTTCTAGAATCTACACAACATGACTGCATGGAAGACACGCTTCAAGTAGGAGGGAGCTTTAAGAGAGCTCACCTCAAAACTCTGTACCTGTTAAAGAAACCACTCTTGCCTCAAAATGCCCAAGCCTGCTCTCAGCTGGCTGAGGGATGTGAAGCCAAGAGAGGCAGTACTCTGCCCGCATTCTCTCTTCCGTGAAATTATTGTTTCGCAAGATGAGGGCAAAAATGCATCATCATGTTTCTTTTCCATTCTTTCCACACTTCAGTTGTTAGTATATGCTTACAGGAATTAGTACTACGCAGCTCAGATGGCCAGATATCCAAGAGCTCCTTTTATCATTACCCACCTCTAAATATTCTTTTAAACAAATAAACTTTAATACCTATTGCAAACCAGGGGATGCAGGATTCAATTTCACTTGCTGCTGTCTTTCTCACAAGTCTTAAGTTATCTTCAAAACCTGGGCAATGGACCCACACTTCAAAAACACTGTGGTGGAAGTCTGAGTATCTCCGATACAGAAACTCTTAGATTCCTACCAGCTGTAGGCGAAGTGAGAGGGGTTCAGGACCCCACCACCAGTGGCGAGACCCTCTGCTTTCTGAGCCCCCAGGCAAGGGCTCTGTAGGGAGCCAGAGGTGCGTGTTAAGGAAGAAAATACATGAGATGGGTCTGAGCAGCGCTGGGTTTCCACACTCAGCAGACTCAGAGCTCATGCTTTCCAAAGAACAGACACGCTGGGGACCCCCCAATCTACCGCTCTGGGGGTAAGGGCCTTCAGTGCTTCAGGGAAACAAGCGCTGCATAGCCTGGGGCTGAGGGGAAACCCACAGCAGGACAACTACCCTCTCTTCTTCCCCTGTGGGCCATGTACCAATTGCAGGCTGCCCCCTCGGGCCAGCTGCTCCCCTCTGTCCCCTCACACACCCCAGCAGCTACTCAGGCCCACTCTGTAACCTCACCGCCCCTCCATCCCCTCAAGGCCCCCAGGAGCTGCCTACGCCCCCTCCGGACCTTCAGGGTCCCCCAGGGACCGCTCAGGACCCCCCAGGAGCCGCCTAAGGCCCACTCTATTCCCTCAAGGCCCCCCAGAAGCCACCTACGCCCCTTCCAACCCTTCAGGGTCCCCCAAGGACCGCTCAGAGCCCCCCAGGAGCCACCTAAGGTCCACTCCGTCCCCTCAGGGCGCCCCAGGGATCCCTCCGGCCCCTCAGGGCGCCCCAGGAGCCACCCAGGGATCCCTCCGGCCCCTCAGAACGCCCCAGGAGCCGCCCAGGGATCCCTCCGGCCCCTCACGGCACCCCAGCAGCCGCCCAGGGATCCCTCCATCCCCACGGGAGCTGCCCCCGGCGCCCCACAGCAACACAGCCCGCCCCCCCGCCACCCTCCTCCGCGGTCACCGCCCCCAGCCCCTCAGGGCCCGGCCCGCGCCTGCTCCGTGCGGCGGAGCATCCGCATGACGCATGCGCCCTGCCCGGCGGGGCTTATATAGGCGGCGGCGCAGCCGGTACCGGGAGCAGCGCTCCGTCCTCGCACCCGCGGTGGTCTCGTTCCCGCTGACGTCACGTCCGGTCTCCCTCCGCTACTCACCCTCTAAGGCGGCGAAGATGGAGGCGGTGGTGCGGCGCTGCCCGTTCCTGGCCCGCGTCTCGCAGGCTTTCCTGCAGAAGGCCGGGCCCTCCCTGCTCCTCTACGCCCAGCACTGCCCCCGCATGATGGAGGCGGCGGCCGCCCCCGCCCGCGGCCTGGCCACGTCCGCCGCCCGCGGGCAGCAGGCGGAGGAGGAGACCCCCGCCGCCCGCCGCGGTGAGTAGGGACACGGGGGCGGGGGAGCGGCAGCCAGGCCTCTCCTCAGGGCGGGCGGGCGGCGGGCTGGGTGTCGGTAGCCGTTGTGGGAAGCTTCCCGAGTGACCTAGTCGCCCTTAATTAAGAAAGAAAAAAAAAAAAATCCATACAGATATAGCAGGAAACTTCTGGAATGGTCAGCTCCGAGATGAGGGCTGCTTCATCTTTTAAATGTCGGTGGTAATGACGGGAGGGCGGCCTGTCAGGACGTCCTGCAGCGACCTCCGGCCCGGCATCCGCGATCCCGGAGCGCCCAGCTGGGATTTCCAGCGGCTCCTCACCCCGCCCGGGGACATTCCTTGGGGGAGCCTTGCCCTGGCACCCAGGGGAAAGCATTGAGCCTTGCGGCAGAGGAAGGGCCGGTGGCTGAGGATAGCCAAAATCCTCAAAAGACAATCTCCCCTTTTGGAGCAAAAGAGATTTTTATTTTATTCCCCCCACCCCCAAGCATATACTGCCACATCTAGTGTCATAAATCATAAGCACCCTTGGGTGTTAGAGGGACTTTGTGCTTGTATAAGTAAAATCTGACCGCTCAGTTAATAATAGCCTGTGCCAAATAAATTGCAAAGGTAATGGATAGAAAAGCTTAAGTCACTGTATTAAAATGATGAAGCTGAGGAGCTTTCACTGTATTAAAATGATGAAGCTGAAGAGCTTTCCTTTCTCTTCCCCCACCTCAGAGGCCAAAAATGCCAAAGAGGTGGCCCAACAGAATACAGATGGATCCCAGGCACCTGCTGGCCACCCACCTGCTGGTGCTAGCCAGAGCTCTGCTACCAAATGCCCATTCCTGGCAGCTGAGATGAATCATAAGAACAGTAATGTTTTCTGCAAAGCCAGCCTAGAACTCCAAGAAGATGTGCAGGAAATGCAGGCAGACAGGAAAGGTATGTATTCTGTGCTCCGAAGCATTGGTTTCTTCTGAGAGCTTCTGGTGCCTGACTGTTCTCTAGAGTGTGCCAAGTCTAACTGTCACCACTTAAATTACACAGGTAGGATTATGGGGGACTTCAGCAAAAAGCTGTTGGGAGAACAAAGGTGTTAATGGCACACCTGCAACATTGTGCAGTGTTCCCTCTGGGTGATTTTGCTGTGGGAATGGCGTATGCTGTATTTTTATATGCTTTCTCTAAATGTGTGAATTGATGTGTTAGGTTTGCATCCCAAGTGGATGCTTAGAATTGAAGAGAGCTTTGTCAGGGTGCTGGTACAGACAAAGGTGGTATATCCAGAGACAGAAGAAACAGCACTGAGGTACTAGGCAAGTACTAGCACAAATCAAAGCTGGAAAGCAAACTTTTTTTTGTTTATGGAACTAAAGGGTGGTGGCTGGCTCACAATCCCGATGCGGAAGGGCTGTCCCTTCAAAGGAAGGAACTTTTCACCAATATCAGTAGAGCCTTGCTGTCTGTCTCAGGAAGCTTATTTTACTTTTCTGTTTGTTTTCTGTGGCATAGCTTTAAAAAAATGTGTGCTAACTGAACAAAATACTAGGAATTAAAAGGAAGCAACTAACTAGAACTCTGCCTTTGATTAGGTGTGTACCAGCTATTTCAGATAAATACGTAGCTCTATGGAGTGGTTTTCTGAGTCATGATGAGCCAAATGTGTTGTGAGGAAATTACTTATTGTATTGTCATCGATTAGCAAATCTTACCTTTTGTTACGTACAATGCAAAATTGTAAGCAAATCAAGTAGTAGATCCTAACAAGGGCACATGGATTCAGGCATGTGCTTCCTAAAGAATGAAGGGTTAGAGTTACTTAAAATGTTGCCTTTGCTGAGCTCAACTTACTTCATGTTTGTTTCAAATTGATTAAGCTCACTGGAATTTATGACAATCTCTGTAGGTACAGAATTTGCCAAAATACCAACCACTTCCACAGTGAGGAACATTGAGACTGAGGGAGAAGAGCAGAGTGGCTTGCTCAAGAAGTTTAAGGATATGGTGCTGAAGCAAAGACCAGAAAGCGTTTCTCACCTGCTTCAGGATAACTTGCCAAAATGTAAGATTGTCTGGCAAAGCCCCCCCACCATAGGCCCGGTCTCCTGTGATTATTTCTTGTGTACTTAAGTTTCTTTCTCATTTTCAGCTGTATCAACCTTCCAGTATGATCAGTTCTTTGAGAAAAAGATAGATGAGAAGAAGAAGGATCACACCTACCGAGTATTCAAAACGGTGAACCGAAAGGCACAGGTCTTTCCCATGGCAGATGACTACACTGATTCTCTGATCACCAAGAAAGAGGTGTCTGTCTGGTGCAGCAACGATTACCTGGGGATGAGTCGTCACCCTCGTGTGTGTGGAGCAGTTATGTGAGTAGTGCCGTGTTCTTAAGAGGCTGTGTCCAGCTGTAGTGCCCTGCAGGAGCTTTTGTGGGAAGGCTTTTGAAGAATTGATTTCTGTACTGTGCTGCATAAGCTGCTTCTGATATTATTCTTGGTATATAATTAAGCTTACGGTCTTCTCTTGAGCTGGGGTAGGTAACTTAGTATTAGCCCCAGGGTGATAGCATACCTGTCCATTACTGACCCTGCTCAGAAGCCCCCAGATCACAGAATCATCGTAAAATAGTTTGGGTTGGAAGGGACCTTTAAAGGTCATCTAGTCCAGCCCTCCTGCAGTGAGCAGGATGCAGTGAGCAGATGTTACCAGATAAACTGGCTGGTGTATTGCAGCTCTACTTGGTAACTGTTTTTTTAGCTTATTGGATTTCTGAGGTGTGCAGGTTGCTCAAAGACCTTAAACCTTACAGCTGCTTCTTGCAGCCAGTTCTTTTTTAGAACAATACCAGTTATGTATTGTAAAACTAGACTGTTTTCAGCAATGATCCTCTATTCATCTGTGTGTCACACAGTAATGCTAATGCCTCTCTTTGGGCCCTCTGTAGGGAGACACTGAAACAACATGGTGCTGGGGCAGGAGGCACAAGAAATATTTCAGGAACGAGCAAATTTCACGTTGATTTGGAGAAGGAGCTAGCTGATCTTCATGGAAAAGATGCAGCACTATTGTTCTCATCTTGCTTTGTAGCCAATGACTCCACCCTCTTCACTCTAGCTAAGATGCTGCCAGGTGAGATCTCAAACTGCACCCCTTGTTTACCACAAAAACACAACCCTGCTCTAAGCAGTTGGGAGTATATTTCACAAATGACTACCCAAAGTGAGGATTCATCTTACTCGATTAGCAAAGTACAGTGTTTGTTGGTTTTTTTTAAGTGCCATATTCAGCTTGGGCAAATCACAGTAGCAGCCTGAGATTGAGATCTAGGAGCTAGGAACTGCAGAAGGCATTAGACAAAAAGCATAGAGTCTTCTGCTCTTACGTTTAAATTCCACCTGAAAATGAGGCAGCAGGAATTTAGTGTCCTCTCACCTGTAAGTGTGAACTTCTTTCCCTCTGTAACTTAAAGAAATATATTAAGGACTTGGAAAAACCCTTCTGTATTTCCTTAAGTTCAAGTTTGTGTTAGTTTAAACACCTAAAATAATCCTTAAATATTATTATTCTTGCTTCATGATCTGTAATTTGCTTTTTTGATCAAGAGCAGCATTTTCTAGAACGTGCTCCCCTTGCTGTCTGAACACTTCCCATACATAAAGCAATGCTGGGAGCCAGTTAATGCTTTCTATACTTAAAGTGTAACTGGACTGTTCCCTCAGGCTGTGAGATCTACTCTGATTCTGGAAACCATGCCTCCATGATCCAGGGGATCCGAAACAGCAGGGTGCCAAAACACATATTCCGCCATAATGATGTCAACCATCTTCGAGAACTATTGAAGAAGTCTGATCCATCTACCCCTAAAATCGTTGCATTTGAAACTGTTCACTCAATGGATGGTAAGTTGACATCAAACCCTTCTTTCTCTCCTTCCAGTGCAGTTAGTGCTTAAATCATCTGTATTTTAGGTCTAGAAGTGTACAGTGCTATAGGAGCTCACATGAAAACTGTTTTCTGAAGTGCCCGGGTTACTTTTGAGATTTATCCAAGCTGAGTACAGCGAATCCTAACCTGCCAGTCA